CACCCCAAGGCCATACTCCCCGCGCACGCGCTCAGCGATGCCCTTTGCCGGGTGGCCGCACCGGTGCCCTCACACCACCCCGACGGGCAGCTCCCCACCTCCACAGGCAGCAGGGTCGGTGGGCGCTGCCGTCGGAACCCCTGGACTCGGCCTGTGCCCTTGGGGGCGCACACGGCGCTCCCATGCGCTCATGTCCTGGGCCGACAGTGCCCCGCCCCCCGCCCCCCACGGCCTGGCAGCAGCTCACTCCGGAGGCTGTCCTCCTGGCTCAGCATTCCAGTTCTCTCCGCTCACATGACAAGGCTCCCAGCGCCTGACACGGCTGCGGGAGCACCTCCCCGGCCCGCGCCCTGGGCCCCACGGGCAGACCTCATCCTGCCTGGCCCTGCTGCAGCACCCTCGCCCTGCCCTTCAACCGAACAAGCACTCACTCAGCGCCGACACACGGTGGGCACGAGGGTCCCGTACTTGCCTCGGGAGGCAAGTCTGCAGGCGTGCCGGTGGCACTGACCCTACCCTCTGAGGCCCAGCTCTAGGGCCAGGGCATTATTATCCATCTCCGGGACGCAGAGGAGGAAGTTGAGCACCAGGGGCTCCGGGCGCTGCCAAGCTCACACAGCAGGGGGCAGGGCCGGGACTCCCCCAGGCCTCTCTGACCCGGAGCCAGAGCCCCGACCAGTGGGCGGCACTGCCCCTCAGCACACCCAGCACTGAGTGCGCGGCCGGGTGGAGGGGACCGGCGTGCGGGCAGACAGCCACCCTTCGAGGTTTGCACACCTCGCTCCGCTCTGTCTCGCCCCCGCCACGGCTGCTTGACAGCTTCCCACTTTGCAGATGAGAAAGCAAAGGCGCACGGAGGTCCCGGAACTGGCCTAGGGTCCCCGGCTTGCCACGCTCTGCGCTGGTGACAATCGTGACATGGACAGTCCCCGGAGGGAAATGCCCATTGTGAGCAGCAGAGGGTTTCCGTGCCAACTGTGCTGCTCCAGGGCCGATATTAAACCACGTTTGTGTCCGGGAAGCTCAGAGGCCAGGCCCCAGGCAACAGGTCTGGTGGGGTCCCCCAGCAGACAGAAGCCACCCTGGCAGAATCAAGCAAGGGAATGAAAGCTAACGGGAGGAAAGCCCCCGCATCTGCCACCCACACCGCTCCAGCCTTCTTGGTCTTACCTGTGCAGGTGCGATGAGGAGACCAGGATGAAGCCCAGGGTCCCGCTGCTGGAGAGGGGGCGCCACCCCTCCGCCCACATGTCCCACCCCTGCGGCTCCCTCCCGACCGGTTCTGTGTCCGCCTACGCGTCCTGGGCCCTGCCACGGACCAAGCCCCAGGGAGGCCTTCCATTGCCAACGGGCCTCCCGTGGGAGCCCCTCCAGTCCCACCCAGCCGGACTGTCCCAGAGGGGCAGCAGGTGCCAGGCTGGTGGCTCACTCTGACACAGGAGACCCAAGGCCAATCCCAGACGCCACCAGCACCAGACCAGTGGGACCCAGAGAAAGCCACAGCACTCCGCCCCAAGCCTTGGTCTGCCCGTCTCTGACATGGGACCACATGGGCACTCTGGACAGATTGGAGCTGGGCCTGGGAGCGCTCCGTGGTGAACGGCGATGCGTCGGCCACACACCGGCCCTTCCCTGGGTTACCTGCCTAGGAGTCCTTTTGTGCAAGGCCAGCACCCCAGGCCGCTGATGGTAGGGTTGGGGAGGGAGCGAAAGGCTTATCCACCGGGCCCCATTGTCGTCACTGACCTTTGCTCCCGGCTCCACTGGGTTTAGGAAAAGCCTCCTCATGAGCCGGCCCTGCCCCAGGCCCTGAGCTGGGTGGCCCATCTCGGAAAACCTATTGGAGGCCAGGATGATCTGTCTTTTTGAAGGCCCAGACCACCCCCTCTCCACCCTCCCTTTAAACCAACAAAAACACAAGCCAGAGAACAAACCCATCCTATTTTGAGAAGCTCAAATTTTTAATCCAAACTTTAAAAGTAAACAGGGCTATACAAAGGCTTGCTGGAGGTCCTGGTGCCCCTAAGTTAGCTAAAGGGGAGCGGCCCCAGCCGCGGGGGAAGGGGACAGGGATGACTTGCACAGAGACAAGCTGGGGGGGGGGGGGGTAGATGGGACACGAAGGATGGGGGAAGGGCAAGGGGGAATCGCTGGGAATGCTTTTGTTTGAAAACCGCATCAGTTCAAGGGGCAAACCTGGCTCTCTGGCGTTTGCGGTCCACCTGCCTTGGTCTGCCCCACTGACGCAGAGTCAGAGCGCCGTAGTCCAGGTTTTAACTGGCCGTCAGTCAAAATCGAGTGCGGGGGCGGGGGTGGGGGGGCCGGGGCAGGGCTATTTGCAGTCGCATTCAGAGGCCTGCCAGCAGCCCAGCCAAGGACTGCGCTGAATACAGATGGGCCACCTCCCACCACAGCCTCCCGGGCCTTCCAGGGCACCCAGCCAGCAGCAGGTACCCCGCAGCTCCCAAGGGAGGCCCACGGGGTCCCCGTTCCCCAGGCGCATTGGCAGGTGCAGCCAGACGTGGGCTCAGACCCATTCAGATGAGCTGTCTGTCTGAACAGCACACGGCTGCAAGGAACACTGAAGTCTGCCTGGCAAGCCCCCAAAAGGGTCCCTAGTGGTTTTTCATGAGGAGCCTTGGAAGACATATTCATTACGAGGACTCTGACAACTGCTGAGACCTACTGTGTGCAGACCCTAGCCTCCCTCAACCCCCCCCCCCCGCCCCGTGGACACAGGGGGCGCTCTGCATTTACCCTGCACGGAGGAGTAGAGAGGCTCAGTCAAGTCAAGAGACTTGCAGAGAGGAGAGGAGGAGCGGGGATTGGATTCAAATCCAGGGTGGCCTGACCCCCCGGGGAATGGGGTTATCAACCATCTGCTCAGTGGTCACCGATAAGGAAGTGACACTTCCCAGGACGGGAGAAGGAGGGTAAGCCTGGATCAGGAATCAGGAAGAGGGAATCACCAGTGTCCGCTGATTAACAGTGTCAGCCAACAAGATGACAGGCTAGAGATGCAAGCCAGCCCACCGCCCGCCTGAGGGGGAGAGGACCAGGTGGTCCCACCCCAGCAGGGCTCAGACCTCTGTGCCTCCACTTACTTGTCTATAAAGTGGGGATAACAGTGCCTCTCCCAAGGCTCCTGCAAGGGTGAGCTGAGACCAGGTCTGCAAAGCAGCAACTCTGGGTCCGAACCCACTTTCCCCACCACCCGGGCCGGGGCTCACTGGTCCTGACCCCAGCCTTGTTCTTCATGCACCTTCAACTATAGGTCAGAAAAGGCATTTGTAAGAAAAGGGCCCGTCCCGGTTTCCGGGCATCCTGTCTGTGTTGGGAGGACCTCGCAGGCCGGGCCCAGTCCTCCACTCCTGCATCCCTGGCAGCTACACCAGAGCTTCCCTGCAAACCTGCGGAGCTGCTCAAGCCCTCCCCAGCCCTGCAGGGAGCCACTCTCGCCAAGTGTCCTCAATGATGCAGCTGAAAACTAGCAACATTTCATTGCCCAGCCCCAGGATCACAGCAGTCCCCTCCTCCGAGAAACTGAAGCCCAGAAATCTGACCCTCCCCGGGCCCCCCTCCCCCAAAGGCTAGGCCAGAAAGGCTGGGACTGGGGCTCCTCACTCACCAAACACTGAAACCCCAACAAATGAAACCATCTAACTCTGAGCCACTGCCATTGGCCTTAGGCAGCCTGTGGTGGGAGGTGGGTTGGATACAGAGTTACCAAAAGTAACCCGAGTTGAGCAGCGTAGATTGCTAATCAGTAACAAAATATCCCTCTCAGCCTAGTCCTGCCCTGAACTCACAGGCTGGGAAGGTAAATAAAGGAAAAACTGTGCTACCCTCACTTGCACCCCACCTCCTGGGTCCAGTTTGCACCCAGCCCCCACCCCTTGGCCATCAAACCAAAGACAGAGCGTCCCTCCTCTGCTCAGGCTGTCACTCTGGGGAAGAAGAGTCAGTTAAGGCCTCATACATTTTCTCTGAATGAGGAAAGCCTTTAAAGGAACCAGAAAGGGCTGTTTAATCTCCACCTTCAGGCAAATCGTTCAGGTAGTAGCAATTGCCACGAGAACTGGGAGCCAAGCCACCAAAAATGTGGAAAAACAGGGAGGCAGCGCCACAGCTCAGCTCTGCAGACCAAGCTGGGGCTCGCTGCCCGGGGCCCCGCAGTCCCCTGCGTGGCAGACCAGAGCAGAGCTCCCTGAGTTCAAAGGTCCTGCCACCCACACCCTGGCCACCCACCCCTGTGGCACTTCCTGTATGGCAACCAACAGCTTACAAATCCCTTAAGAAGCTTCCTCTCCACCTCAAATCCCCAAGGTGGGGATCATCAGCTCTATTCTACAGATAAGGAAACTAAGGCACAAAGCAGGAGCCCAAAACCAGACACATGTACCCCCCTGGGAAGTCTCAGAACCTCGGCAGAGAAAGGCCTCCCCTCCGAGGACAGGAGCGTCAGAAACAGGAAGGCTCTGAGCCTGGGCCCCTGGCCCCGCTGCCTCCAGGCCTCAGCCCGCTGCTGCGGGTGCATCTCCCCAGCCCACAAGCAGCACCAGGAGGCCCGGGCATCATTCCAGCCCCGGCTCACACGTGGATGCAGCTCTGGTTGGGGCAGCCTGTTGCTCCCAATAAGAGAGAAAATTCACTTGCGCTACAAACGCCATTCATTTTTTCACATGAGCTTCCTGCTGGCCGACAAGGATTTCCAGGCAGAGAGGAGGCGCCCCGCAGCCAGCCGGCGAGCGGTGCCGGAGAGTAACACTGATAACCCCGCAGGGGAGAAACTTTCCTGGGGTCTGGCGGTCCCGCCCGGCTGCCGCTGAGAAGCTGGGCAGCGACACGCCTCCATCACTGGGCCAGGAAAACACCACCCAAAGCCCTCCTGCGGGTGGGCGCGAGGGCTCCCAGCCCGGCGTCCGGATGCCAGCTGGAGGAGAGGTCTGGAGTCGGGGAAGGGGCTGTGACCCGCGCTGCCCCGCCGGCGCTGTCCTTACCGTGCAGGCCATTGGGGATGCTTCGATGGTGCGGTGGCGCCGACAGATCGTCCAGGGACCTGCGTGTGGCTACGGCTTTGCCGTCAGGGACCTTGTGCGGCCCTGGGGGCAGCAGCGGGGGCGGGACGTGGTGGTGGTGGTCCGGGCTGCCGCCGCTACCCGCGCTCGACGTGCTGCTGCCGTCGCCCACGTCGCGGGCCCCCGTGCCCGCCGCGCCGCCCGCCAGCGGCCCGCTGAGGCTGGCCTGGCTGTCGATGGAGCTGCGGGAGCCCGCGCCGCCTCCTCCGCCCGCGCCGCCCGCGCCCCCAGCCAGCGCCGCGCGCTCCTCGTCCAGCAGCAGTACCAGCTCCTTAAGCTCCAGGTTCTCGCGCAGCAGGGCCTCCTGGCGCGCCTCGAGCTCGCGCAGCTTCTGCTGCGAGCGGGCCACCTCGTGCCACACGGCGCCGGCCGCGTGGCGCCCGAAGCGCTGCCACTCGCGCGCCAGCTTGCGCCCCTTCTGCCGGTCGTCGTCGAGGAAGCAGCAGAGCTCGCGCAGCTCCTGGTTGTCGTCCTGCAGCCGCTGGTTCACGTCCTTGAGGCCGCGGATCTCCAGCAGGTGCTGCTGCAGCCGCCGGTTCACGTCGCGCATCAGGCCGCCGTGCTCCAGCATGAGGCCCACCTTCTCGCCCTCGGCGCGCCGCAGCCGCCGCGCCAGCTCCTCCTTGCTCCAGCGCAGCAGCTCCTCGTCCGGCACCTGGCTCAGCTCCTCCGACGCCGCCGCCGCCGCCGCAGGGGGCTTCGCCATGGCTGGGCCGTCACCGCGGCATCGCCCGCGCCCTCGCCCGGCCGGCGCTCCCCGCGCCGGGGCTGCGCTGGGCCGGTCCGCGCGCGGGCGGGGGGCAGGCGGGGGCGCGTGCGGCCCGCCCCACGCCGCCTCGCGTGTCCTCACGCAGCGCCCGCCCGGTCCGCCGGGAGCCCGCGCGTCTCGGGTATCAGCGAGCGAGGATCGCTGCTGTGTCGGCGGCCGCCGCGCCGGGTGCTCTCCGGGCTCGGGCGAAGCAGGCGGAGGCCCGCCCCCGGCCCAGCTCCCGGAGCCCCGGCCGCCCCGCCCACTCCGGGCGGGGAGGAGGCGGGGCACTGCCGCCCGGCCCCGCCTCCGGGGGGGAGCGAGGGGGCGTGCAGAGGCGCGGCCGAACCCCGATGTCCCCCACCACTGTGCGCTCGCCCGCCCGGCGCCCTGACAGAGGCGCGTTGGAGCCGTAGTCCCGCCCTCCCGCCCGTCCTATTGGGCCTCTCCGGGGGTGTGTGGGAGGGGCGGGGCGCATGTGGGGGACGCTGCGGACATGGTACAGTCCACGCACTGGGCTTTTAACACTCCCTCCTCCCCCTGGCGGTTCAAGTTTCTGCGCCGGAGGACGCGGCCTGGGCCAATCCCGGGGCTACAGGGCGCTTTTAAAATGCAGGTACAGTGTGGGGAGGGCGACGGTGGGAAAGGTAGGGCCGGGCTTCCCTTAAAGGAGACGCGCGGAAATGCGCTCGGAGCCCCTTCTCGGGCCAGCGTACCCCGCCCGCGCTCCCTCGCCCCAAATAAACAAACACCCTCGACCCGGACGACAGGTCCCCCTCTCCCTCCCGGAGCACCAGAGTCCAGCGTAGTCTGAGCTACGGCGAACAATAGGGCTCTGACACTGGGGTCGCTCTCCCGGATGCCGGGCGGCTCTTTGTCCCCTACCCTGCCCCCGGCTCGGTCGCCCCCGTCTCCACCCACCCCCGTCGCCGGCCGGAGCGCGCAGAGGGGCTGCGCCTCCACTCCGCCCGGGGACTGTGGCTCCGGCGTCGGCGCTCCCGGAGGACCAGGGCCTCACCAGCAGCGTCCCAGAGCTTCGTCCGTACCCTCGTTCCTGCCCCGAGGGGGCGAGTGCACGGGAACTTGCCCCCCTCCCACCCCGAGCGACGCTCAGAGCCCTGCTCCCCGCCCACCCGTCCGCGCATCCCCGGGACTCCGGGGAGAATCTTCGGTTCGCGAGGTGGAGACCACTGGGGCCTTAACGCCGGGGTCGCGAGGGGCTGAGCCGGCGGCAGAGCCCCCTCCCCAGCGGCAGCCTCGCCCCTTCCCACCGCCTCGGAGTCTGCCTCGTTATCTTCATGTCCCCGAAGCGCATTTAAGGCGCGTCTGCGGGGAGCCGAGCGGAGGGGGCGTGGGTCCTCTGGGGCCCGCAACTGAGATAAAACCCGCGCACTCGACCGTGAGCGGCCACGGCCTGGAGCGCGCGGCCCAGCAGCAGCTGATGCCACATTTGCATCCCACAGCCCGGCACCCAGCGCTGCCCTGGCCAGGCCTGCTCCAGACCCCCGGGGTCTGCGGAGGGCGGCGGCAGAAGCTGCCGCTCCCGGAGGGAACTTGGCACCGGGCAGGCAGGCAGAAAAGGAGATAAACTAGATAAGTCTGAGGCTGTGCTCAGGGCTGTGCAGAAGATGAAGACAAGTCACGGTCACAGAAAGTGATAATTGGTTACTTTAGGTCCTGCCGTCAGGAGGACCCTCTGAGGGGATGCACCTCATCTGAGGTCTGAGCAAAAAGGGCAAAGATAAGGGGAAGGGCGCTCCAGGTAGAGGGAAAAGCTAGTGCAGGGGCCCTAGGGATGGACCATTACTGGTCTCTTCAAGGAAGGCCAGTGAGGCTGGGAGGGCGCAGGGGAGGGGGGAGATGAGGCCTGAAGGGCCAGCTCCTGCAGGATCCTAAGGCAGCTGGGAAAGCAGGGGGCGGTGGGCATCAGGAAGCAATGGGACTGGTTTGCCTTTTAAGAGGCTCACTCCAGACCGTATGGGGAGAAAGGACTGGGAGGTGGGTGCCCAGAGAGGTCCAGGTTCAGGGCGCCCTTCCCCACCCATCTGCCCCTCTCTGCAGGTAGACGCAGGTCAGGAGGAGGCAGAATGGGAGAGGATGAGCCAAACAGGTGTAGCTTTGAGCATTAAGCCCCAGGGAAGCTGAGGGCCCTGCAGACAAGGCCACCCGTGAGCCAACTGCAGGATCCCAGGTGGAGGGACAAGAGAAAAAGGGTTTTGGCTCCTAAGTGGGGAGGCTGTGGGTTATCCCCACTAGAGGAAGCCAGCGTGAATGGCTGCCTAAAGCAACCCCTCACACACACACACACTCATGCGCACTCCTACAAGGGAGCCTGGGTGCGGAGCTGCTCATGGGACAGCGGAGGGTGGTACAGGACCCAGCACTCACCAGGGAAGTCACATAGAGGGTCACCACCGCACTTGTGGGGACCTCCTCCCTTTGCGTGTGGCTCCCAGGGGTTCAGGTGGCCTGCCTCTCAGGCCCCTCGTCCTCCCTGGCTAGCAGCTTCAGCTGAACTTCCTGAGAGAAAAACGGAGCCTCTATCTACAAGGGGTCTGAGTGCGTTATCTGCAGACTGTGGAATGGAGGGTCTCCTGGCCAAGACCACCAGGGAGCATCTCTCATACCCACCAGGGGCGGCAAAGACAAAGAGCCAGAGATGGGGCTGCTGGGTGGCTTGAGAGAAAGTCTGCTCCCAGAACGGTGGCTGGACAGGCTTGAGCAGGACAGGATAGGACCACAGGAAGTCGAGAGGGTCAAAGCTAGAGCCACCACCCCAAAGGACCCCCATCCCCCAGGGTCCAGCAAGAGGTGCCAAACACCCTAGGATACTCATGGTCAAAGTGACCCTGTGCCCTAAGTCAGGGTCTCAGAAATGTCAAGTGTCTTGGCCTTTGTAGCCCTCAGTCAAGAGAAGCCCCTCCTTGTCATGAAAACTGTAAGACCGGACCAGGAACCCCTATCGCAGTAGTTCTGTGGGTGCCTAGCACAAGCAGCTGTGGGTCTTTGCAAGCGTAAAGGGCACTAGCACTTCCCAGTTCCTCCCCGAGACTCTCCCTGTCTGTGTGTGTCCATTTCAAGCCTCACAGATATTTTCAAGAGCCAGCTGGGGGGAGGGCTGGCACAGAAGAGGTAAAATATTCCAAACGCAGGGGCTGTGCGCTGGGGAAAAGAGAAGAGCGCACACTGGTGGTGAGTGATGGTCTCCCTACCGCTGGGGTGGGGGCAGGGGCTCTCCTGCCTCCTGCCTGGCTGGGGCGGAGCACCGAGTCCAGGGCAGGCACTGTCTGCTGTTTGCCAGTGAATGCACGACCCTCCAGGGCACAACCAGTTAAGTGTGAGCCCCTGTTTTGAAGGGGAGGAAACAACCCCAGAAAGGTCACTTTTATTACTCAAGGTCACTTTCATTTGTTAGTTTATTGAACACAAAAACATTAGCCCTGGCTTGGTCGCTCAGTTGATTAGAGCGTCCATGTACACCAAGGTTGCAGGTTCGATCCTTGGTCAGGGCACATAGATGCATCAACCCATGAATGCATGAATAAGTGGAACAACAAATCGCTGTCCCCCCTCCCCGCCACCTTCCTCTCTTTTTCTAAAATCAATAAATAAAAATTAAAAATAAATAAAATTAAAATAACATATAAGTCTATCCATAAATGCCTTTGTATGTGCAATCATATATGCATTATAAATCGTACCGCAAAAGCGATGAGCAGATCCCAAGTTACACTGGGGATCCCAGGTCAGTGATGCACAGGACAGTTGCCTAGAACCGCAGAGATCCCAGGCAAAGGCCTCAAGGTCAGCCTGAGGCCGGTGGGGGCCGCAGAAGATGGGCCTGGCCAGGCCTTCTCAGGAGCACGCACACGACAAGAGGTGTGGGGAGAGGGGAGGGTCGGAGGGTCAGCTGAGGCTGGGCAACAGCCCGCAGCTGCAGAGCCAGGCTGGCCAGAGGCCGGGGAGAGCCGTGCCCTAGGGGCCAACATCAGGGGCATGTCAGTACGGTCAGCCTCTCTTTCCAGCTGTGCCATAGCCCTTAGAAGCAAAGCTGGGAGGGGGCTCAAGCCCTGGGGAAGCTGAGTCAGGGAGTTCTTCCCAGGACCAGCTCTCACCTCAATGCACTTGAACTCACTGCTCTTATTATGAGCTATTTCATATTACAACTTACTGTGGAGCAGCCGCAGCCTGGGAGCCCAGGGGTCCCAGGCGCAGCCCACGCCGCCCCTGGGGTAACGCGGTGCTGCGTGACACTGTGACTATTCCTGTGCTTGCAGGGCGCTCCGTCTCCCCCTTAGAACTTGCTGCTTAATTCCGCAGGCTTCCAAACGTCACTACCTGCTCTTGGGCACCCCGCGCTCTGCAGTGTGCCTTTCCACTGGCCTGCGGATCTGCGCGGCCGCAGCTCGCGCCTGTGCACGGCTGGACGGCAAGGCTTCTCAGCCTCGGCGCGGTGGACGTTTTGGACAGAACCAGTCCGAGCTGTGAGGGCACGGGGGGCTGTCCCAGGCACTGTGGGATGTTCCTCAGCACCCCTGCCCTCTATCCATCAGGTGGCGGTAGCACCCCCACCCCAAGTTGTGAAAGCCAAAAATACCTCCAGACCTTGGGAAGGCGCCCCTGGGTGACATCTCCCCTGCCCTCCGGATAGGCATTGTGTGAATATATTACCTTTTCCTCTTCTCCTGATGAGATTTCTTTCTTTTTCGTTTCATGTCTTATTTTATTTTATTTGATTATTTTATTTTATGTTTTTGCTCTAACCTGCAATGCTGCCGTAGACATTCTTGGACATGTGTCCTGATGCACATGAGCATGAACTTGGTTCAGGTTATGCCGAGACACGGAATGGCTGGGTCATACAGCGCACACGGCTTCGGGGGGTCTGCATGATGCCAAACTGAGCTCCAAAGAGGCGGAGGTGCCTCGCACTCCTGCCCGTGGGGTGTAGGGTGCCC